CTTTCAAGGGAGGATTTACAGTCACGGACCTTATCTGGCTTGGAGAGCTGCCAGGTTGATATCTGCAGAACTTGGGAAGGAGCCTCGGAGAGTCAGGAACCAGTGAAGCAAACTAATTGCCTCCTGCAAGCTCCACTCCCCTTTTATGTCTTCTGGGAGGGGCCATTCATCATCCACCTGTGGCCTTCCTGCCAAGCTGACCCCTGTTCTTTTTCTGCTTTGTCTGGCAACTCTGTGCATGCACACACTGGGAACAGGCTCCAGTGTTCTTCTGCCTCACTTATGTCTGACTCTAAAGGCAGATGATAACTGGCATATGGCTCTGGCCCCCAGTTTACCTCCGACACAGAGCTTTCATCAGAGCCTTCCCCAGACTCCAGGACTGACCCAGCTTCCTCCCCAACCTCCTCACAGTCCGAATCTGCTGCCAGCTCTGCTGGCCACTGGCGGGCCGTAACACCTAAGTGCCAAGGAAGCCTCCCGACATACCTGCCAGCGCATACGCCCCAGGGATAATGGGGCTAGGAGGGCCCCCCGCAGTGATGCCCATGGGGAAGAGGAGGGCTGTGGCTTCACCCACCAATCGCCCGATGGCAGCTCCTGTGAAGGGACAGAGAAAGATCATCTTTCCCTCCTGAGCCTGACGGACCAGCCTCTCTGGAGGCTGAAAGCAGACGACGAGAGAAAATGGAAGCACTCACCGTAAATGAAGACGGGCATGAAGTACCCGGCGGGCATAGGCATGGTGGTGGCCAAGATCAGCATCCAGAACTGCAAGGACAGAAAGAATCAACCATTGGCAGCCCAACCTTTTTGAGAGCAGGGTCAGCCGTGTCTGGCTGACCATTCAGAAGGTTGACGTACGCGAGAGCACCTGGAAGGAGCTCTGCAAGGCCCAGAAGAGGCCAGAAGAGACCCGCCCCCCCAAAAGAGAGTCCTACTGCGTGCCAGGCAGAGGGAGTTCCCAGACTCATCACCTTCATCACCAGGAAGATAGACAGCGTGCCGAAGATGGAGAGGTCGGGGTGCCACCACTCCTGCCATAGGTTGAGGGGGTCCACCTGGGGAGGCCTGTCAAGTGACACGTTCTGGGAGAGGACACTCCAGGTGCGGTTATCGAGCAAGGAGGTGAGCAGATCCTTCATGCTCAGCTGCACAAAAGAAAGGGAAAAACGGGTCTCTGCTGCTTCTGCCCCATGGCACAAAGGGGCTGCCAGCCTCTCCTCCTGCCTTGCCTCAGCTCCTCTGGCTTGCCATGGCAGAGAGCCAGCGGCAGCCCCTTGTGTTCTCCGCAGGCTCTGCCCTTGGGCAGCCAACGGCCGATAGTTACCCTGGAGGCCATGAATTGTCCCAGGCTAAGGGGGAAGGTGATGGAGGACAGCAGGAAGGCCACCAGCACCGAATAGAGGGGTTTCCTGCAAAAGAAGGCCCAAAGGTCAGGGAGAGGGGAGGGGAGAGGAGATTGGGAAAGCAATGTAACTCAAAAAAGCCACAGGTTATGAAGAGGGCTGGGCTGGGGGCTGCCATAGGCCGCTGTACTTCTGGGGGTAAATCTTGTGATGGAGAAGCAGAGGAAGCTTTAGAGATAAGACTGAGAATCAGAACAGCTTGGAAGAGAGTTGCGGTGACGCAGTGGTTAGAGTGCAGTACTGCAGGCTCCTTCTGCTGCCTGCCGTTCGAATCTCACCAGGCTCAAGGTTGATTCAGACTTCCATCCTTCCGAGGTGGGTCAAATGAGGACCCAGATTGTTGGGGGCAAGAGGCTGACTCTGTAAACCGCTTAGAGAGGGCTGTAAAGCACTGTAAATCGGTATATGTCTAAGTGCTATTGCTATACAAGAGCTCTGGTGGTGCAGTGGTTAGAGTGCAGTGCTGCAGGCTGCTTCTGCCAGCTGCCGGCTGCCTGCAATTTGGCAGTTCGAATCTCACCAGGCTCAAGGTTGATTCAGCCTTCCGTCCTTCCGAGGTGGGTCAAATGAGGACCCAGATTGTTGGGGGCAAGAGGCTGACTCTGTAAACCGCTTAGAGGGGGCTGTAAAGCACTGTAAAGCGGTATATAAGTCTAAGTGCCACTGCAATCTTCCTTCCTTCCTTTCTTCTTTCCATCCACCCACCCACCCCACCCACCTATCCATCCATCATGCACAATGGTTAGAATGCAGTATTACAGGCTAACTCTGCCCACTGCCAGGAGTTTGATCCTGAACGGCTCAAGGTTGACTCAGCCTTTTATCCTTCTGAGGTGGGTAAAATGAGGACTCAGAATGTTGGGGGCAAGAGGCCAACTCTGTAAAACGCTTAGAGAGGGCCACGAAGTACTGTGAAGCGGTATATAAGTCTAAGTGCTATTCTTTCCCTCCCTTTCTCCCTCCCTCCCTCCCAGTGGTTAGCATGCAGTACTGCAGGCAACTTCAGCTGACTGCTAGATGCAGTTTAGCAGTTCGAATCCCACCAGGCTCAAGGTTAACTCAGCCTTCCATCCTTCCGAGGTGGGTAAAATTAGATTGTTGGGGGGAAGAGGCTGACTCTGTAAGCTGCTTAGAGAGGGCTGTGAAATCTAAGTGTTTATTGCTATTGGAAGCCAGACTGCCATTTTCTTCCAGTGAAATGCTGGGGGGAGGGGCGATCTAACCTGCTGGCAAACATTGGTGGTCTCCCCAGGGAGCCCCTTTTCGGTGAGTCCACTTCCTGTACTCCCCCCCCCTCCAATCCCGCAACCAGAGGAGCCATCCCAGGGACTCTGGTGAGCTGCCCTCTGGTGTCTACTTACTCGGTGGCTAGCAGCTTGGCCGTGAAGCAGTTCCTCCGGACATAGCCCAGGAACCAGCGCTGGCAGAAGAGGTACGCACAGCTCAGCACGCCACAGATCACGCTGCAAGGGAGAAAGGAGGCCTCCCAGTTGACCCGTGCTCTGGCTGCTGCATCCCCCCCCTCCCAACCCAGGGAGTCCCCTGCCTCACCCGAGGAATGTGAAGAAAACAGTCTCCGGCAGATCAAAGGGGAAATCAATTTTGAAACTGGTCTTGAAGAGGGCTGTGATGGTTTCTGGAAAGCAGGGGTGCAAAAGCCGAGGGGCTTGGACTCTGATCTCCTGGAGCCCCTTCCCAGCTCCCGCCCCACCTCCCTGCCTGGCCCTCAGCCAAGCAGCCCACAGGAGGTGGCACGCAGAGCCCTCTCCATCGCCAGCTGGTTTTCGCGGGCGCTGGAGCGCCTGAAAATGGCAAAAAAAAAAAATGGCCAGAAACCACCAAAAAACAGGCCTTTTTTGGGCCTGAAAATGGCCAAAAAAACCAGTCCCCAAAATTGCAAAAAAAACCAGGCATGCGTGTGCCATCCAGCTGGTCTTTGGGTTTCTGGAGCTCGGGCACATGCAAAGACCAGCTGGCCGGCACATGCGTGTGCCAGAAACCCAGAGACCAGCTGGCTGGCATGTGCATCGGCCAGCTATTCTTCGGGTTCCTGATGCACATGTGCACGGACATGCACATGTGTTCCGGTTTGGGCACTCAAGTGTCAAAAAGATTCGCCACCCCTGCCATAGATGCACTGCCCCTGTAGAGCACTCTGCCCGCCCTGCCATCCCCAGACCAAGTGGCCCAGGGATCCCTCCTCTGGCCGATCGCTGCCCACCTTGTTCACTGTTGAAAACAGCCAACAGGCGGAACATGAAGGCGCCACAAGTGGCCGAGAAGAAGCCCCTCCAGTAATCCCGGACGGCAAAGTGGGAGGATACGACCTCGATGCTGAAGAGGACCCCTGGAGGAGTGGCAACGGGGGGTGGGTAGGGAGAGCAGTCCAGATAGTCAGCCCCACATCCATTGGTCTGGCCACTCCGTGCCCCCCCTCCCACCTGCTCTGGCCTCCCTTTGCAAAGGGACTTTTGCCAGAAATGGCAGCCACGTCCCAGCTGCGTCTTACCGCTGATGGGTGCCCCAAAGACGGTTGCCACGCCCACGGCCGCTCCTGCCACCAGCATCTCGTTCTGCTTGCTTTTATTCTAGGCAAAGGAAAGGGGCGCCCTCTTGAGGCTGCTGCCAAGCCGCCCTCCAGGCAGCGGTTCCAGGAACCCACTGAGCTGGGCCACCTGCAGGGCCCTCCAGCCAGCCACATAGTCCTCAGCTGCCCCCACACCATCCCTGGGGTGCAGCCTCGCCTCCTCGGCCGTACCTCGTACTCCCCAGAAATGCTGGTCCGGATCTTGCCCAGGTAGGCAGCAATTATGCTGGAGAGGTGAACAAAGGGTCCCTGCAGAGGCCGGACGGAAGGAAGAGGATGACCCGAAAGGCTCAAAGGAGGGAGAGCTCAACAAAGCCCCCCTCCGTGCAACAGTGGTCTCTCCCAGTAGACCCTCCCCCCCCAGACAAGAGGCTCGTCTCCTGACCTCAGCCGGAGCTTGGATGTCTCCAGGAAGGAGAGTCTACCCCCCGCCCCCCAAAAAAACATTCACCCTGGTTGCTGGCGGGATCATCCACCTATCAGCTTCCCTGTCTCTGCTCCTTCCTGGCCTGAAGGAACCCAGGTCCTCTTTCCTTCTTGAGCAGGGGTCTGCAACCCACGGCTCTGGAGCCACATGTGGCTCTTTCATCCCTCTGCTACGGCTCCCTGTTGCTCAAAATATGTGTCACAGCTGCCAATGTGTGATACCCGCCGGCACACGATTTAACAAGGTTTTTGACCTATCCTTTTTTCCCCCCAGAGTTCAAAATGTTTTTGTTGCATGCAGAAATAAAAAATTGTTTTCTCTGTAGCAGTTCGTTGATTTTCATAAGTGCAACACACTATAGGTTTGTTTTTATTACATAGGATAAAGTTAAAAAATATTAATATATGCAGTGCTATCTTCATTTTAGAAGGGTTTTGTGGCTCCCGGTGTTTTCTTTTCTGGGGGAGACGGGTCTAAATGGCTCTTTTGAGTGTTTGAGGTTGCTGATTCCTGCTCTTGAGCTGGGGCACCTTCAGCACAAGCTCTAAGAAGGAGGCCATCTGAGGTAGGCAAGACCAAATAGGTGTGGGGCAGAAGCAACATCCGAAGCCATCCCCTCCAGACACCCAATTCCTTCCTTCTGTCTCTAGAACGTTTCCCTTTCAAACTGATACAGCTTCCTTTCTGTGTCCAAAGGCTGAAACCCCACCACCCCTCAGGCCACAAAGACGCTGCATGGAGGCAAGCGAGAGAGAGAGAGACCCCTCCTCTTAATCCACCCGCTGGATGCGTACCACTTTCCCGAGGAAGATGGTGCTCCCGCAGGCAAGTGTGCAGGTCAGCCCCACGACTTTGGCCCCAAAGTTCTCCATGGCCAAGTACTCCTCCAGGATGACGCCAGTCAGGATGGTCTTGAGTTCGGGGATGCCAGAGCCTGGTAGAGAGAGGGCAGAACTATCTCTCCACCACTTCTGCCCACCTAGCAGGAAACCCTAGTGCCACCCTGGAGGCGTCTCAAACCCTAATTAATGAGCCAGGCTAGACACGGTGTGTGAATGAGGCCCCAGGTTGCCCTCTCTTCTGCCATCTTCCTTTCAGGGAGAAGAAGAAGGCAGCTGATGGAAGAAGGAAATCTTGATGCTTCCCAATGGGCTCAGGCTGCCCATCCTTCTCCCTGCACTCCTCAGCCAGACTTGGGAGAAGAAAAGAAAGTTTCTGTTTTGACCGAGGCTTCCCAAGAGCATAAAGCAAACTCCTGGTCCTGACAAAAAAAACCCTTTTATTAATTGGCTGAGTCTCAGAGAGTCGCAAACCAATTAAGCAAACTAAAGGTCTCCTGCAAACTCCACTCCCCTTTCGCTCCTCTTTTATTTCCTCTGGGAGGGGCCATTCATCATCCGCCTATGGCCTTACTCCCACATTGACCTGTTCTTTAGCTGTTCCCTTCATCTGGCCACTCTGCACATGCGCACACTGGGAACAGGCCCCAGCTGTTCCTCTGCCTCACTGATGTCTGACTCTGAAGGCATCTGATAACTGTCAGACTGGCCCCCTCTCTGCCTCCAACACAGAGCCTTCATCAGAGCCTTCCCCAGACTCCAGGACTGACCCAGGTTCTTCCCCAAACTCCTCACTGTCCGAATCTGCTGCCAGCTCTGCTGGCTGCTGGCGGGCCACAACAGCTGTTTCCCAGTCCAAGGGCCAGAATAGGGCATAACGACCACTAGTTGCTGACCCTAGCCTCCATCCCGCCTCACCTCCAGCGTGCTGGGTAATGCTTTGGGCAAAGCCCGTGGAAAAAGCCGAGAGTGCGACTGGGTACATGGTCCAGGAGAGGAACTTCAGCACCTGGTAGTCTCCAACCTCTTTGTAAAGCCACAGGTGTGCTGGAGAATCCAAAGGGAAGTTGGGAAGTCAGCTGTGAACTGAACTGCCCCAGAACTGCCAGAGTCATTTGATGCTTGTGGCTGCCCTGAAGGCATGGAGAGCCTACCCCCCCCCCCGCCCCACTCTTGGAACTGGCACGAGGCCTCTGTAAGCGGCACAAAAGACACTCTTTTCTTCTGCTTGTCCCTCAAAGCCCAGCTAGGGGACAGTAGCAGGATTTGGAAGGGCAAAAGCTCACCTCTGGCAACTCTGGAGACGGTGAAGTCCATGGCGAAGCTGAGCAGCGCCATGATGACGCCCAGGGCAAAGAGGTAATACCAATCATCCCCGACTCGGAAGAGCTGCCGCTTGAGGCACCCCAGGCAACCTGCAGAGGGCAGCAGAGGCTGGGAATGAGCCTCCTTCAAGGAGGGATGAAGAGGTCAAAGGGCCACCACCACCACCACCACCTCTGGGAAACGCCAACATCTGGAAGCCCTCCAACCTCGGTGCCACCCATGTGGGAGACACTCTTGTGCCATCTCCCTGGTTCCTACCGTGCACCTTGCGCCGGGCTTTTGGCCAGGGTCTCCAGTTGTCTTCCCAAGGCAGGAACACATTGGCCTCCTCTTCCTCCTCCTTGTTCTCGGCTCTCTCTTTCTCCCCGCTGGCTTTCTCTGCCCTCTCAGCAGCCATGCCCCGAGGCTGGGAATGGAAACGCTGGATGCAGCCCAAGAGGAGGAGGAGGAGGAGGATCTGAGCTGTCTGTTTGCAAGCCCCAAGGCGGATGGAGTCCCTAAAGGCCTCCTGCTACCGCTTGTCTGGATCTTGGCTGCAGGAGTGACCCAACAAGGAGGCCCCTTTCCCCTCCTGAAATGCAGAAGTTCTGAACAGGTGAAATGAAGAGGAAGGCGCACCCGGATCCCCACTCTCAAGACAATCCTGGTCACCTTGCAAAGGGAAGACGCTCCACTGACAGCAGCCACCAAAAGGGGCAAACCTCCGACAGGATCCACCTGCCTTGTCCAAGAGCTCTCCGATCTAGGAAGGTGGCATTTCTATCGCCTGAGGGAGCCTCAGGCACTAAAGGAAATCCAGACAACAGTCAGACAACAATGCACAGTCTTCCCCCCACCCAACTCCGCCTCTCAAACCAGGGTCCCCTCCATGGCCCCGACTGGAACCTGTGTAAAGGAGGCTCACTCCACCTCAGCCGGCTCTGGGTGCCTGCGTGTGCGTCTGTCAAAGACTCCTGTTGCTCCTGGGTCAGGGTGACTTCTCTGAAGCCAGTTTCCTCTGCCCTGGCCAGACCTGGTGCACACACACACAAACACACACACACACACCTGTCTCCTGGGCCCTCCCTGTTCTCTCCCACACCTCCCTCCCTCCCTGACCTCTAACTATCCGGAAGTCTCTCTCTGGGACCCACAGGAAAGGCCCTCCAGCAAGCCCATTCCAGCTCAAGCCAGCCTTCTCACCAAGCAGCACGAGAAGGGTGGGGTGGGCAGGAAGGCAGCTGGCAACCAGCCCCATTTGGCTGGCTGCCCCACACCTTGCCACCCACACCTCTGAGGGTCATTTGTTCCGGTTGCAAGAGCTCACTCATTGTCCTAGTTTATGCTCCCCTCCCAACGTTCAGGCCAGCCGCAGGGGGTGCAGAATCAAGACCAGGAGAGCCAAAATGCTGGAAGGGGGCTGCAAACACCTTCCTCCCAAAACAGCCTGGCCAGGAAAAGCGCCAGCCTCTCGTGAGCCTTGCCATCCCATCAGGCTAGCCACTGAAATGGGCAGGCAGTCTCTGGGGAGGGGACAGACAACAGGAGGGGTGGGGGGTGGGGGGGGGCTGCTTGCTGCAGGTCAAGAGAACTCTTCTAAATTGGGCACGATTTCTAAACTCTGAGTGGGTTCCGGGATGATTTATGGTCCGTGGGTCTCTGCCTGGGGAGTCCCCGGGGCCCCTCTCCTCCTGCCAGCATTCCAGAAATGGCGCCAAGGGCCAGAAGATCTGCAATGCGATGGGCAGTGGATGAAGCTGAGTTGGGGAGGACAGCCTGCCCTCTGGGGCTTGTTCTGGGGGGGGGGGAAGAAGAGGGCACCGGAGGCCCCAGGCCCAATGACTCAGACTGTCCTGAGAGGAGGGTGACTAAGCAGCTGCGTTTAGCTACAAGCTGCCCCCAGACGGTTTCCGCAGACAGGCTGCACGATCCATCTTCTACATGGAGGCCCATGCCAGGCAGGCTCTCGGAGCTGCCAGGGAAATAAGCCTCACCCCTGGAGCAATGGGAACCCCTTTTCAGGATTGGGGTGGAGGGGTTTAGAGGGTTCCAGGGCTCTGCCCTCCTCTTTTGGGATGCTTGCTGGCTAGGGGTTTCCATGCCAGGCTCCCCCCTTCCTTGTGGAAGGCCAATCCAGCTGCCAATCAGGGGAAAAAGATCCAGTCGTGGGTGGAATGCCGTTCGCCAGCCACCCCCTCCCGCCTCTCTCTGTCTAGGCTCGTGCCTATGGGCCGCTTTCCAGAGGCATTGGCCGTGTCCTGCAGAAGACTCTAAATTTAGACTCTTTGACAAGACCCCTGGAAGGCAGCTGAGCGGCTCTGAGGCTTTTAAAGGTTCCGCAGCTGCCCCCGGGTGGCTCTGTCGGGCGAGACTTCCGGAGGAGACAGCTCCTCCGAGCATCGATCCACTTGGAATAGCCACCCTCTCGGGGCTCGCGCTGCTTCAGCACCCTCGACCCATCTTCTTGGCAGGACACGACCAGGCAGGCGGCTGCCCCATGGAGAAGAAGGCCCACGGACTATTTGACAGTACGTTGGGGGGCTTCCTAAGGCCCCATCCGGATCCCCGAAGTTTCTCAGGCAAGTGGGGAGATAGGGCTGAATAGGCAGCCTCTGACCCCCCCTGACTGCCTGGGTTCTCTCCCCTGGCTCTTGTCTAGCCAATCCCACAGTCAAAAGGCTCCCCACTTTAAGCTGCATGATCGCGGAGAGGAGATTGTCACTGTTTTCTGCTGTTTAGGGTAAACCCCCTTTTTTGTTTACACCAACAATTCTTGGAATGATGGGCACACAGGCTCCACCATTCTGCTCCCTGCATGCGGCCTGGCTGCACTGGGGAAAGGCAGAGGAGGACCAAAGGGGGAGGTTTCGCACAAGGTCCCCCCGTCTGCATCCCAAGCCATGAAGGCAAGCAAGGACACCAATGCCGTTTCTCTCAAATGGACCCTGCTTGAGCAGGACTAGAAGACCCCCCGAGGTCCCTTCAATTCTGTTATTCTGTTGCATAGTTTGGTCTTCTCCATTCTTGGCTCTGTCGGACAGAGAGCCGCGTCCTGAACAGGACAGTAGAGATCTCGGGGAGGAGGGGGAAAATGGGCATTTGATAGGGTAGAAAGGGGATGGCTTGAAATGTGATGTGTGCAGCCCCTGCCGCTTAGGATACCTGTTGGCCACAGAGTCCTTGGGGTACTTCTTCAGTGCCAGGCTGGTCTGTGGTCTCTTGGGAGGGAGTACCTGCTGGACCAGGTGGGATTTTCAAGGGCTGGGTTCAGCAGCCCAGCAATTCTACCTGGCCGTGCAGCATCTCAAACAGCTGCTGCAAGCAGAGGCCCAAATGGTGCATCCTGTTTGCCCCAGGATCCCGCCCTGGGATTTGCTTCCTTTTGCCAGCAAATATGTCCCAGTGCTGGAATCAAGAATCGAGAGAGCTTCTCTTCTCCCAACAGGCCGTTCTGGCGGGATGGGAAACATCAAAACCTTTGGGGATACGTACCAGTTTGCCGTGGATGTCAGTGACTTCTCCCCCGAAGACATTATCATTACCACATCCAAAAACCAGATTGAAGTGAGGGCTGAGAAGGTGAGTGGCCACTGCTGAGCTTCCCCCTGTCTTGGGAGACCACCGGAGCCATTTTTAAAGCAGAGATGAACAGTCCGGCTGGGGCTGAGGGGATGGGGTAGCCCCAAGATGCTTGGCTGAGTAAAGCTGAGGCAGCTACTCCTTGGATCCACGGCAGGTGGGGAGTAGCTTTTTCTGATCTCCAGGTTCTCTGCCTATTCCTGCGAGCATTCCAATATCATCCCACTGTGGAAATTAACAAGAAAAGGGAGTTAAGAGTTGTACTTTTTGTCTTGGTTTCTTTGGAAACTAGAGCTCCCTCCTCCCTTCTTTTGGATGTGGCCCCTGCGGCGATGTGGCCCCGCTGTCTTAAGAATGGCAGCCAAGAGGCTCCCTGCCCCCACCCGAGTGCCCTTCAGACTATGCTAGGGATGCACATGCTGATGGGAACATTCCCCGACTGGCTGGTCCATGTTGAGCGAAACGTTGCCCAGGAAGCCTTTCCCCTGATACCAGCTGCCTCTCTGGGGGCCAGTCTGGCAAAAGAAGAGGCCTTTTTGAACCGAGTTGCCCAAGCGTCAGTTTTGGCAACGTTGCCAGAATTTCCCCATTTCATAGAGATTTGGGATGGGCTGCCCCTTATTTTGGCAAGCAGGCAAACTGAACCTTAGGAAGATCAATTCACATCAACTTTCAGGATTCAGACTCTCGTGGCCCTAACTGCTGTTTCTTTGTCCTCCTCCCATGGGCAGCTAGCAGCTGATGGGACCATCGTCAACACATTCACCCACAAATGCCAGCTCCCTGAAGATGTGGACCCCACATCGCTCACTTCCACCCTGGGGGCAGACGGCTGCCTGACCATCAAGGCACGGAGAGGTCCAGCCAAGCCATCTGAGCAAGTGCAGCAAACCTTCAGGACTGAAATTAAAATCTGAGCTCCCGGAGCAGTTCGGGAGAGCGGGCAGGGAGCCAGGTTGGGCTGGGTGGGGGGGTGGAAAGCAGATCTGTCCTTGTGTTCCCCGTCAATAAGAGATGTTTTGGTTTGTCATCCATGACTGAAGGTTAAAGGGATGCCAGCAAAGCGGGTCAAAGCTGCCCTTCCCCCTCCCTCCCTTTGAAAGGGGAAATAACACCATCGCTTTTTGCCAGCAAAGGAACAGCAAAGCTGGAAGGCAGCTGGAGCTGAATTTTCCAGGTCTGCAGCCAGCAATTTAATGTTTTGAAGTGTTGCTAAAAAAAAAAAAAAAAAAAGAGGATGAGATAAGAAATTTATACGATAGGAAGCCCATCGCACAGCAGCAAAGTTTACCTCTAGTGAACTTGTCTAGGATTACTGCGTACCTCTTGAAGCATTCAAGTTAAAACATTAACACGTTCATAAGGCTAGATTCAGGGTTTATTTTTTCCCCTCTCCCCCACCCCGTCTTTGCACCTCACCTCCAAATCCAGCTACACCCACAAGTTGGGAAGAAGAAAAAAAACCAAACTGTTGAGGGGAATGAAACGATGTAAAACGAATGTAAACTTTTAATTATAGGAAAAGTAACTTTCTTGCAAGTCGTGCGCTGACTTTTGGCTGTTTGAACGTGTCTGATTTGGGGGCTGGGGGAAGAAGCAGGAGCAAGGAAGGAGGGAGCTTTTGTCCTTGTGTTGCATCCAACACACAAACACACACACACACACACACACACA